GCCAAAATATATATATATATATATATATATATATGTGTGTGTTTTAGACTGTGACCATGAGAACCCCATTTCTTTTTTTTTTTTTTTTTTTAACAGGGCGGCGGCCTTGAGACATCATCATTGAACTGACCCATCTATATTTTCAGCAATGCGGATAACTGTCGGAGTTCAAGATCGGTGAAATATTCGTAATTGTTTTTTATTTTGGGGGGGGGGGGGATTGGAAAATATTCGGAATTGTGGTAGGTATCTCAGTAATTGTCCAGTTGGGATAATGATATCTCAAGGCAGTCGCCCTTCCAAAAAAATAATAATAATAAAAAAAAAAAAAAACACACGAAAACTTGCCTGCATTGCACGTGCTGTCCTCTCCCCCCCTCTCCTCTCTCTGCCAGTTGACATTTCCATCCCCATCTCTCTGTCTTGGCATCTCCGCGCGCTTACCCATTCCTTATCCAACGTGGACAAGACTTCTTTTTTTTTTTTTTTTTTTTTTTKTCTGTTTGTTTTTGTTTTGAGATAGATATTTTGAAATATGAAACTTCTCCCTGCTTATCAAGTGTCTAAACCCGTTAGGAACTCTCTCTCTCTCTCTCTCTCTCTCCTTCTCACAGTCTCTCTCTCTCTCTCTCTCTCCCTCTCCTTCTCACAGTCTCTCTCTCTCACTCTCTCTCTCCCTGCTTATCCGTGTCTAACCCGTTAGGAACTCTCCCTCTCTCTCTCTCTCTCTCTCTCTCTCTTCCCCTCTCTCTCTCTCTCGCTAGTTCTCAATGCGTGGCCTGAGTTGGCCTCACCTCCTTCTGTTTTCCTCAGTAAGTGTTCCGACCTCTGTCTGTCTGTGTGTGTCCAGTTTAACATTCACCTTTTTTTTTTTTTTTCAAGTGTTTTTCCCCCCCCCCTCAGTTGTTCATCTTGGCATCGCAAGGCAAAAGAATTACAAGTAAAAATCCTTCTCTCTCCTCCCTCCCCCTCCTCCCGCCCCTTTCCTGCCCACCTCCCCTCCGCCCCTCCGCCCCTCCTCCCCTCCTCCCCTCCTCCCCTCCTCACCTCCTCCCCTCCTTCTCCCCTCTCCTGCCTCCTCCTCCCCCCTCCATCTCTGCTCATTGTGCGTGGAGGTGGTGGTTGTGACACGTGGTCTTCCTTTTTCGATTTTTTTGGTCCTTGTTTTTGTTTTTGTTTTTGCTCCTTGTTTTTCTTTTTCTTTTTCTTTTTCTTTCTCTTTTTGTTTTTGTTTTTGTTTTTGTTTTCTGTTTTTGGTGCATGTGTGACAGGTTGGTCGTGGCAGCAGCTGATGAGGGAGGCAGTTTTCAGCATACGGGGTAAATTTTAATTCTGGTGAAGGAGTGAAGGAGAGGGAGGGAGGGAGGAAGGAGAGGGAGGAGGCGGGGAGGGAGGAGAGGGAGGAGGGAGGAGGGAGGGAAAAAAAAGAAGGCTAGAAAAGATGGTGCGGAAGACTTTCAAACAGCTGCGTGACAAGGAGAGGAAGAAGGATGCAGCGCTGACGGAGGCGGAGCGGGCGCTTGCAAAGCGCGCCGAGCTTGATCGCAAGGGGAAGGCGGGTGATGCAGCTGCTGACGTGGCAAGCGCAGGACGCCTACGTGGCGTCCCGACGTCGGAGTATGTCGGATTTCGGTCGATGATGACGAATGCCTTCTCCTTCATACAAGATCTCACAAGGAAGAAGGAGATATTTGAGGAGGAGGAGCTGGCACGCAAGGAAGGGTTGAAATCCACGTGGGCTAATTGGCCGAGGAGGCCCGGACCTGATGGAAAACCCCTCCCGCGAAGGGTGTACACGAAAGCGGAGAGGGCGCTTCAAGCAATAGAGTACATGCAGGATTTCCCGCGCTTTCTGTTCGGCTTTCCTAATTTGCTCGACAAGACCAAGCGGCCGTACGATGTGCAGCAGTTCTACGGTGTCAGGGAGCTCGAGCAGGAGAATGCAGATTGTAAGTATATGCCCCTCTTGCAGGCTTAAGAACAGAAGAACAAACAGTAGACACGCAGAGAGAGAGAGAGAGAGAGAGAGAGAGAGAGAGAGAGAGAGAGAGAGAGAGAGAGAGCATTGCTCGAGCAGGAGAAGCAGATTGTAAGTATGCCCCTCTTGCATGCGGGATGAAGAAAAGAAGAACAAACAAGGAGAGAGAGAGAGAGAGAGAGAGAGAGAGAGAGAGAGAGAGAGAGAGAGAGAGAGAGAGCGTTGCTCGAGCAGGAGAAGCAGATTGTAAGTATGCCCCTCTTGCATGCGGGCTGAAGAAAAGAAGAACAAACAAGAGAGAGAGAGAGAGAGAGAGAGAGAGAGAGAGAGAGAGGTTCTTGCAGTGTTGCGTTCTTAGCATTAGGTCAATGCTTCATGGGTTACATTTCGTTTTTTTTTTTTTTTTTTTTTTTTTTTTTTTTTTTTTTTCCCAACTTCATCATCCTCTTGGTATATGGAGATGGTGAAGCTTTTAGGATTGTGAGGCTTTTTTCAAGTTTTTTGGGCCTGAGGCTTTATTTTTTTAACCAGGGCCGGGTACTATCAGGACAGCGGTCTGTTTTTTTGCCCATTTCTGTCTCTAGATTTTAACCTGACATCTGCACCTAAGCCCATTACCCAGTATCTTTTTTTTTTTTTTTTTTTTTTTTTTTCTGTTCATTTCCGGATTCCCGGCCTCTCCCTTTGGTACGAGTAATCAAATGAGCTGAGTCGTTTGTTAAAAAAAAAAAAAGGGATGGTGAACGTCTGCAGCTGTGATGTCAGCTGCATCACACATCACAGCTGCTCTGCAGCGTTCTGCAGCTGTCGGAAAAAAAAAAAGAAAATCTGAAATCTGTGGAGTCAGGTGAGGGGAATGCATGTGGACGGCTTTTGGCTTTTGTGCACTCTCAACAGTTTTTTTTTTTTTTTTTTTCCAATGCTTTTCCTAATATTAATTCATATTTGATATAAATAAATTTGTTTAAAGAAAGCAATGCAAAACATCGTTCGTTAGAGATCATTCTCTGTGGACGAGAGGAGCGTTCTGCCAATTGCGAGTCGCAATCATAAGGGGATGAGGTCCCCTAGCAAAGGGTGGTTGGATTTAAGACCTGAATCTGGACGTGTTTGTGGAGGGATTCAGACAATTGCGATTTATCTGCTTTTCTGCACCTTTGCGTAAAACACGTCCAGATTCAGGCGCTTGATAATATCCAATCCTTTGTGCCTTGTAGGAGCTCTCCCCAGTGAAAGGCATTCCACGATGCAGACCCCCAAATTCGAATCTCAGAGTCAAAGCCCCCAAGTCAAAAGAGGCCACGTCGGCCAGTTTCAGAAAGATTACGTCTGGTACCCCAAAGTTCCAAGTCCAGCAGGTACCGGGGCAATAGTCACCTCCCATAGGGAAAAAAAGTCAAATCGCATAGGGGGGAAAAAGTCAAATCCCATAGGGAAAAAAAGTCAAATCCCATCCCAGAGGTCAAAGGTCACAACCCAGAGGCAAAGGTCACGTCCCACAGACCCAAAAGCAGCAGTACACCAAGGAAAACTCAGGGTTGTGAAGTACCGGGCCTCAACATTGTGAAGTAAGTCACACATCCCATAGGGAAAAAAAGTCACATCGCATAGGCAAAAGGAGTCATATCCCACAGGTCAAAGGTCACAACCCAGAGTCAATGGTCACGTCCCACATGCATATGTGAGAGAGAGAGAGAGAGAGAGAGAGAGAGAGAGAGAGAGAGAGAGAGAGAGAGAGAGAGAGAGAGGCGACACATGGAGAGAGAGAGAGAGAGAGAGAGAGAGA